CGCTAGCCTGTTTCTGAGGCAGGGCAGCATCCGCTCATCTCCAGTAGTCCAAGGCTGTTGATTCTCCAAAGTGGAGGCCCCTTTTCCATACTGACTCTTTTCCAGCCTCTGTTTATTTCCTTAATGACTGAAGCGAAAGCAGATATTGTTAGATAAGTGGCTATAAATGATTCTGGCAGCTTTGTATGAAGGCATGTGATAAATTTTCAGGAAAGAGTTTGTTGCCAGGATAGCTTCTGGAGCCAAAATGTTGGTGCCAAACTAAATGGGAAGAGCACATGCAAGAGACCCTTTGGGGTGCTACAGTCTGGGTTTGCAGCCTTTCTTCTGGTGTGCCCCTCTCTTGCAGTGATGGGGCAAGGGGTGGTGTGATGCTCTGGGCCCTGACCTCTTCAAAACCATCATCTGTTTCTCATCCTTTGTGCTGTTTCCAGACCCAGTTCAGTATGTGCAGTTCCATCTCCTTCTTGGGGTTTTGTTTGTTTTGTTGTGGTTTTTTTTCTTTTTTGGAGCAACCCTTAACCCTCTAATTCAGCCTTAGAGGTTGTGTGGGGAACTCTGTAGATTTGCTGGTGGGACTTCATATACCTGTATGTATGCAGCGGACAGCCTGTCTGCATGGTGGGGATGCGGTTGAGACACGTGCCACGTGGTGGGAGGACATCTGCAGGACCTCCCCTGGAACTGGATGGAGCTGAAGGAGGTCCCAGCAAAGGGGCAGCAATGGGGCTGTGACCTGAACCTGGGGCTCCTTCCACAGGACCTGTTCCCCCTGACTTGCCTGGCATCAGCACCATAACCCAAACTTCTCCATGTCTCGTGCGAGGCAGCGTTTTGAATTCCCAAGCACTCGAGCTGCAGGTTCCTCCATCTTAAAGAGCTATTCTTCCATCTGTAAGCTGGCAACTTGTTTGATTTTTTTACATCAGGTTTTCCTGTTGAAAGTGGGGACCGAGGGGAAGGGCCCCCGTGGCAGGACCCTCGCCTGCGGCAGCAACGAGCACACGCGGTGGTTCCCATTAGTTCCTGTCCGCTCCAAGTGGATTTAACTTTCATTTTTAAATGGCAGCATTTGAAAGGCATATAGGGCTGAGCTAACCATGTAAGTAATTAGGCTAGGAATGCAAGCAGAGGGGGCCATCAGCACTCATTATTTAAGAGCCAGCTTCATTATTTTTACTGCTTGGATGCTTATCTTAACATCAGCAGCCGCTTTTATTTAAAGGGACTTTGCCTCGCAGACTTGACGTTCCTGGCTGGGCTCTTCTGGAAGGGCGCTCAGAGATTGCACGCCTTCCTCCGAGAGGTGAAGCTAAAATAGTTTGCTCCCCAAAGGATGCTTCCCTCTGCTTGATGCTCCCAAATCACTTACGCCCAGTGCAGGCTTTGCAGGGATTCCTGCCCCCGTCGCTGGAACAGTGCTGCCACCACAATAAAAATGAGATGCTCTTTGGCAGCGTACGGTATTTTTTATTAGGTCAGAGCATGAAAACTGTCCTGGGCATCTAAAATTAGAAGATGATGAGGTCTGTAGGGAAAAGCAGTGTCAAATCACACAGTCGCAGTCCCTGCCCCAAAGTGGTTGCAGTGAGACGCCCACCTTGGCTCCAAGCTTTCGTTGAATCTGACTTTCTATAAGGGAGCTGACAAAACTGCTAGGTCCAAGGGGACCCTAAGTGCAGTGGTGACTTCTGACTCCTTTTATTAAATGCCTAGGGCTGTCTTCTGGCGGGAGATTTGTGAAGGGGGCGAAAGCGCATTATTGGATACCAAGTGATCATACCAGTGTGCTGCTGCATCCCTTCCCTGAGCCCTTCCGTTCTCTTTGTTGCTTTTTATCATTCCTGCATGTGTGGTGGATGCCCAGGCTCTGCTCCTGTAAATAACCCTTACCCAAGGGTGGGCCACGTGAGAAGAGGGATGTACTGTTAGTCTCCAGTAGGAAGGATTAGTCTGAGATGCTGAACTCCTCTGTGAGAGGCTTTTGGATGTGTAAGTGGGTGTGCTGCTCGAGAGGTCTTCCATGCCACCCAGAACTGCCTGGAAATTTGGAGGCATCTCACAGGAGGTGACCCAGCCATTCTCTCAGCAAAACCCTGGGTGCTGAGCAGTGTGTTTCTCCAGGCACCTGGGGAAAGGAGAGGAGATACTATCTTCCACCTTTGCTGTCTCCTCGTGGTTCTGGTCCTTCCTGCAAATTTTGTGCCCAGCCCGGCAGAGTTAAATGCTGCCGCTGCCGCCTTGCGTGCAGGGCTGCTTTGTTGCCATGTCAACTGTGCATGTCATTTGTTTACATTTGATTTGGCAGAACATTTCATGATAAGAACCAAGGCCTCCAGTGACTTTGAACTGGGGGGTGGCTGGGCAGGGGCACAGTGGGATGGGGAGCGAGGGAGAGCGTCTGCACCTACCTTCTGCTGGGTGCCCTCCAAGCGAGCGGGTGAAGCCGCCTGGGGCCTCCTCTCTGTAGCTCGCTTCCAGGAAAGTAGGAGCAGGGGAAATAAGTGTTCATTCTCATATTAATATCGATAACAGCGTGCATTAATTCTCAGGTGGCTTCTTGTAGTTTCGACCCATGGGGTGTGTGAAGGTTATTTCCACAGCCTGTTGCTTCCAAGCTTGCCACAGCTAGGAAATTTCTATGATCCTACCAAGTTCCCGACAACCAGATCTGGATTGTTTTCATGCGTTAGTCAGTGATGGGAAGAGATGAATCTTTCCAGGCAAAGACCCATAATTCAAGACAAATCTGTGACAGACTTTCCTGAGGACTTTCCCCAAGTAAAAAGAATACCAGGGCTTGGCCCAAAGCCAGGGAGAAAATATGTCTTAAAGAAAATCTACGAAGACTGAAGTAGTATGTGGTCTCTTCAGCCACCGCAAAAGCAATGCAAGAAGGGCTGGTGCAAAACTAATTTTTCAGAATTACTTCAATGATAGCAGACACTTTTTTTCCTTAACAGAAGCGATCTGGGAAGAGGTTGGTAAAGCATGTGAGATTTTCTCCTGAGCCCTTCTGACTGTTTGCCAGGGATGATTTCTCCCCGTATTTGCTATCTGATGGGGAGTGATAAATTCTGCATTTCTCTTTTTGTGCTGTTCTCTCTCTACCTTCTGGACGTGAGGCGCTTTGCTTGTGGTGTTGGTGGGAAACACATTCAGGATTTGAGTGCTGGGAAACAGGGGAGGTGATGCAATTTCCCCCCTTGCCTTCTTAAGAGAAAGCGGTTAATTTACTCTGCGCTCATATGAAAAGCAAAGCTTGTTTCCCCAGCGGCTCGGCAGGCGAGGACGGGGGACGGTGTAAAGTCCGTGATCTTTTAGGAGGTGCGTGCCTCTGCCAGCCCCTCCTTCAGCCGCCCAGTGAGTCACAGCGACCGCCCCGGCAGGCTGCCTTCTGGGAGGGGGAGAGAAAATACCCTTCATCTGTGATTAATGTCCAAACCACCGAGCACCACCTGAAAGACGGCGCTGCCGGCAGCGTAGGAGAAATGAGTCGTGGGCCGGCAGTGTATTCCCCAGCTTTGATCTCCGTCACCCTGCTCGTTTCTCTGGCTTGGTTTTTACATACCTGTGTGTGATAGCTTGGGCCTGAGCTCACCAAGGCGGCGGTTGTCTTCTCGGGGCATGCTCACATACGTGCCCCTTGGTGACGGCGGCTGCCTCAGCAGTGCTGCCTCCTTCTCCCCATCTTACCTCCCTGCTGCATCCCAGCTGGTTCACCCTGGTGTGACCTGGCGAGCATTTGTTCCAGCTTGTCCTGAGGGAAAGCACAGGGCCAGGACCTGGGGTTGGGGGCAGAGACTGGTTAAAACATCTCCTGCATTCAGGAGGAGATGTACCTGGAGACCACAGCCTCCACAACAGCCAGGAGCATCCTTCCCTGTGCCTCCCGTGGAGGTGGGACTCCAGGTCTGCAGATGGGCCATGCTGTTGACGTTGGCCTAGAGCTGTGAAGGAGTTGCCCATATTGTTATCTGCTTTTTTACTCGTCTCTGTTGATCAGGGTGTCTCCCTCCGATCTGGCTCATGCTGGGAAGGTGAGCAGCATGGCAACGTGACTGGTGTTGAAGCAGGGTTGAAATGCCCATTCTCCTTTTCCTCTTTCCTCTCACATGGCCTGGAGAGATGGTATCTAGGTAAAGGGCTAAGCCAGCCTCATGACTCTTTTGGTCTTTGGCCTCTCCAGGGACGCGCAACCGTGCTACCAAAGTGACTATTTTTGTAAGGTGGGTCCAGCTGCTGGCTGCTGACCAACCATTTTTCAACTCCATGCAGGCCTTGAAACAAACCACTGAAAAATAAAGTCCAGCAGCTACTACCAACATGCATAGGACTTAATCTGGCTCCCAACCTGTGTAAGGTTTTTATAGGGCATTAATAATCACATGCTGTGCTCCAGTTCTTGCTTTTTAATTTTTCTACTTAAGGGTGAGACTAGGTGCTTTCCTCAGAACATGAGATTCTTTAATTTTAGACATGAGGTCTGGCACCCTTTGTGGAAGCCAGCTGTCTTCTCATTTTCCTAGCAGTGCTTTCATTCTTCTGCATTGCAAGCCAGCTCTTTTTCTGTGTGGGATCCTTCTCACCTCAGCCCTTTCCCAGTTACATAAAGAAGGAAGAGTGCTTGAAAGACTTTTGGTCTTTGGCCTCTCCAGGGACGCGCAACCGTGCTACCAAAGTGACTATTTTTGTAAGGTGGGTCCAGCTGCTGGCTGCTGACCAACCATTTTTCAACTCCATGCAGGCCTTGAAACAAACCACTGAAAAATAAAGTCCAGCAGCTACTACCAACATGCATAGGACTTAATCTGGCTCCCAACCTGTGTAAGGTTTTTATAGGGCATTAATAATCACATGCTGTGCTCCAGTTCTTGCTTTTTAATTTTTCTACTTAAGGGTGAGACTAGGTGCTTTCCTCAGAACATGAGATTCTTTAATTTTAGACATGAGGTCTGGCACCCTTTGTGGAAGCCAGCTGTCTTCTCATTTTCCTAGCAGTGCTTTCATTCTTCTGCATTGCAAGCCAGCTCTTTTTCTGTGTGGGATCCTTCTCACCTCAGCCCTTTCCCAGTTACATAAAGAAGGAAGAGTGCTTGAAAGAGTGGCCGTGCTGAAATTAAAAAAAAAAAAGAAAAAAAAAAATCGTTGAGGTCCTTTCTAATGTGTTGCTACATGCCAGATGTCTGCCTATGGTTATTTCCAAATAAAAGCACTGCCAGGCAGCAGGTGTGGATCTATAGAAGTTATCTGTAATAAAGAGCAGTATATGTGGTAATAGTACAGAGTACAGTTAAGAGCAAAGTAATGCATGTTGGGCCTGAATCAAAGATCACTGATGACAGGACATTGCTTCATAAAGATTTCATTTGTTATATTGTTTTGTAGCCTTCCTCTCTCCCTCATTTCAAAGTTCCTATTTGCATAACAGCTAAGCCCCAATGCATGGAGGAAGCAGGCAGAGACAACTTCTACAACTGTGGCCCAGTATCTTTGAGGAAAAAGGGAGGTTGCCTGCATTCATTCTGGATGTCACCTTTTGCCTTGCTGAATCCAGAAAGAAACCTTCTTCCTTCCTCCGGGCCTGCTGCTGAAGAAGTGTCAGCTGGATGAGGCTCTGGTGAGGGCTGCAAGGTGCTCTCAGTCTTGGGCTTTAATTCTTTCCTGAACTCTAGCTCCTTGGAGACCTATGATTTCTATGCTGAGAGCAGGGACATGTTGTTTCTGTATTTATTGGGCAAGGCAGATGCCCTCGTTCCTTTGTCACTTCTAGCAGATGAGCTTTCCAGATGGGAACCTCATTTCCAAATAGTTTTTCAACAAAAATGACATTCCTTGGACTGCCTGTTCTCAGAAAGTGCTCCAAGTGACCTTAATGTGTTCCCAGCTGTCCTTTAGAGCCGAGAAATATTTCCAAATGCAAGGTCACCAATTGCAGTGATACGTATTGCTAATAAACTTGGCACTTGTATCTAGAGATGGTCTTGTGGCTAACATACAAGGTCGGGGCAAAGGAAGTTATTTTCTTGTTTGCTTGTGTGAAATTCTCGAAATTATTTTTCTGCTGTGTCTCTTAGTCTTCCCAGCTATAAAGTGGGATTCATAAACTGTGCTTGCCTTACCTGGGTGTATTAAAGTTTCTGAAAGTCCAACAGCTGTCTCCATAGACATGAGAAGTGCTCGGATCTTTCTGATACCACCCCACACCCTAAGAGCTGACCCGCTGGCTTGCTTCTCACAGCTGGAGTCGAATGCAAGTTTATTCTGCTTGCAGACAAGTGTGGTAGTTAGCAGCAGCTCTTGTGAGCATCCTTGACCTGGACCCTGCTCCAAGGGGCCAGACACCGTATGAGTCAAGGTAAAATTTTCCTTCTGTTAGGTATCTCTTCAAAACCCTTGGCAGAAATACTTCTGCCCCTCATCAGTGTTATACCTGGGGACCTGTTGATTGCCAGCAGCAATTAATGCAATGCTGGTAGCAGTGCTTGGGAAGGAATGGAAGTGATTGACTTTCAAATTCAGGGCTGCTGTTTGCAGGACTGTGCTTGGGGGAAAACCCATAAAAAGGTTTCTGTCTAGAAACTAAGCATATCTGATGTGGAATTACAGAGAAACAATGAACAGGAAAGTCGACAGTACTGCTTTTACTGAGCAGAATTGCACTTTTAAGTCCACTTAAGAAGTAGGTTTTGCAAGACCAGAGCCTTAGACACTTAGGAGGGCGATCCCTTCAGAGTCCCAAAAAGAACATTGCAGCCTCTAATTAAGCAGAGTATTAACTACCTTATCTCCTTGATGAAACTTGGTAAACTGTACTCTGACAGACGCGCACACACGGCTTTCTCCCTGGAAATCTGGAAGTTAAGACATGCTTTCTCTATCATCTATATGATTTATTTTTCCCCTGGCTATTCCTCTGGAGTTGCACGAAGGCACTGAACTAAGTGCAGCTGTCTTTGCGCTGAGCTGTATTTGCATAGAGCTCTATTTGCATGTTGGCTTGTGCTGGCGTACAATATTAATAAGGTATTAGAGGAGAGCAGGGGGAGGGGGAGGGGCAAGTTAAGATTTCAGTCTTGTCTAAGCAGGGCCATGCAAATAAATTTCCTTTTATCCGGAATTAATGACTAATACGTTAACTGGCCTCGGTCTGGGATTTTGCCTGCCTGGGAATGATGTCTGCAGCAAGAGGCTGTGCTTCCCGCTCCGTCTTCCATGCCTCCCGAGACATTAGTGGGTTTGTCCACCTTTGACTGGGAGCTGCAAGGCTGCTCGTGCAAGGAAGTCTCTCTGGTTACAACCATGCATGTCTGGAAACAAATGCAGCCCGGTGGAAAGCCACAGCATGGGGAATGGACGAGAGGGAGAAAGGAGGAAACAAAGGAAAAAGGGGGAAAGAGCAAGTTCTTTACCAAGAGAAAGCTACAGCCTTGAACTTGGACCTGAGCTGCTCTTAACCTGAAAGAGCACACCTGTAACTAATGGTTCTGTAGGAGGGTATGTCCCTCAGGGGTGGAGACTTGGGGTTACCTGCCATCATTCAGCGTGGTGGCTGCGCCTAACATCCAGATCCATACTTGTCCCAGGGTTTGCCCAGCCTGGGTATCTGTTCTGCCTCACGTGGAGGGCTCAGCACGTGCTAACCCAAGCAATGGTGCTAGCACCTTATTTTACGCTGCTGTCTTGGGGGGCTAGCTGTGAGCCTGCGTGGTGAATGGACAGGGAGCAGCAGGAGAGATGGATCCCTCTTCTGCTGGATTCCCAAGAAGGGCACGCCACTGGGATCAGGAGAGCCAGGGTGGGACTTGGGAGACTCGCTGCTGGTTTGCACATTGTTAGCTCCTAGTGATGATAATCTGATTGCGAGACCCTCGGAGCCCAAGTAGTAAGGGGTCCTGTGGGGGGAGCTGATTAGCGTGATCTCCAGGGAGGGGTTGCCTTCACTGTGCAGGGTACAGAGTGCTTCTGGAGCTTGCACACCCAGTGCCGTTTATCAACAGCCCAGAAATGGCTGAAGAAGAAGGGGAGCTATTCTAGAAGGACCTGTTTATAATCAGAGTTTTATCAGGTTGCTCTGTCCCAGATATATGGGGGAGTACAGGACAGCCCAAATTCCTCTGTTGGGGAGGAGATGGGCCTTAGCCCCAAGCAGGTTTGCATTGCTTCTTGTTGGGAATGGTGGACCAGAATCCTTCAAACCTGGGCTTGCCACTAGCGTAATTGCCTCCAGTGCTAGTTTTGAGGCCTCAGCTTTCCTTGGGGTGCCGTCCAGCTGAGCTGGATCACCTTTACCCAAAGTCTTGGTGTTTCAGCTCACAATGGAAGAATAAGCAGGGTGGTGGTGGGGTGGGTGTGTGTGTGTGCGCGCAATGTTCCTGTCTCTGTGCTCAGTTCACGCTGTAGACATCTTGGAGCTAACCTGGTAATCCCACAAGTCGCTTGGGGGAACAGTTTGATCTTGCTGTGGGGATGGTGCCACATTATGGGGGAAGCTCTGTTCTTAATCAGTGCAGAAGCCGTGAGGGGAAAAACAAGTCTGCAACATCACTTGGCAACACAATTATTATAATAGGGTTTGCTTCTTCCTACACTGCCCAACTGAATTATTTTCTCCATATGGTGGAGCTACTCTGTTTTTAACTGGTTCTTCCTGCCCCTTCACCAGATGGCTGTTTTTATGCAGGACCTCACAGCTCTTGCGCATCGTGCCTTGCTGAGCTGAGAGCGGGGAAAGGAACTCGGGGGAAAGCAGGCTCAGGACGGATGCTGCTAGCCCTGATCATGGGGTAACAAACATAGCTGGAGCTGGACATTAGGCATCACCATTAAAATGAATATTTAGATGCTAACAGGGTAACTCAAAGCCAGCATTCTATTTATTTCTGGTGGACGTGAGGTTTTGGTGAGAGCACAGAGCTGAAGGATGCACACCGCAAAGTCTTCCCCTTCTGGGTTGCCAGCTGACTTCAGGCTGACCTGTAACAGCTCGTCGTCATCCTTGTCTTAGGTGTTTAGCACAGCTCTGCTAATACGATGCAATCCTTTCTGTCTTCTTGCTATATTTGGCTTCCTAGAGCAGGGCACCCACCTGTAAGCTGCTTGTTGCTCTCCAGCTGCCCAGGGATCCTTGTCCTGCACCGCAGAGTGCCTCTGCTTTGAATCTATCCTCATGGTACCAAGGACATAGGGAGTGGAAAAAAAAGAAACAAACATCAACAGCAGCAAAAAAACCTGCAAAAAAGAAAAGGGACATAGAGAAATTCCACCAGTAAGTGCAAAGTGTTGTTAAAAGGATAAATCGCTTCTGTAATTTACACTTCAGGAAGAAATAGCCCACCTGGGTTCTGGGTAGCCGGGCGCTCCGCATCTGTATTCAAGGACCTTCCTCATTTGCTTTTAGTCTGCTTTTCTAAGGAAATGAGATGTGTGTGATCACACTGCTGCTGTGTTCCCCTTAACTTTTGAATCCGGTGGACAAATTCAAGCAAATTTGACGCGGGGAGGGGGGAGGTCTCAGTGGTATTGAGTGCTACGTGCTTCATGAAAATAGGCAGCTGGGCAGAGACCCTGTTAATGCCTGCCCCGGGGGAAGGGCTGCAGTGTCAGCTTGCCAGTTAATATATACTGTTGGAGGAGTGTCTCTGTGCGGGAGGTCAGTCCTGAGACCCTGGTCTGTAGGAAACAGCAAAGTCTTTCTCTGGCCTTTTTTTAATTTTCTTTTTTTTTTTTTTTTTGTCCTTTGGTGAGACTTGAAAATAAAAATAACACTTTTCATCTTCAAAGGGCTTTACAAACATCAGCTAATTAATCCTTCCCTCATCTAGTTTGCTGCTTCAAGCAAGAGTGGAAAAGCAGGGATTTTTCTAAAAGTGAGTGAGATAGATCCTCAGAGGGCCCATCTCAATCCTGGAGGGTCCGCGGCTGTTGCTCCACTCCAGAGCGTGCAGCTCTGTACTATGTTGTTGTTTGTTCTTTGTTTCTTTAGCTAATAAATAAACAATGGAATTCAAAGAAACAACCAAGAGATGTTCCTTAACACGTATGCCCCAGCTTATGGGTAAACCATCAGCCTGAAAAAAAATGTAGATTGGCTTAATCAGGAGGGGAAGAAAATTCCCATCATTAAATTTTAGGTCTTTAAAATTCATCATACATGAGAACTTTATATTTTCTCAGGAATTACCTTGAAAACACAATAGGACACTTCCTATTGTGAGAAGAACTTCCTGTTCTTCTCCTCATGTTCCTGAGGATCTTGTGGCCATTGTCACAACCAGAAGCTTTAGACGTGTCTGGTTCTCTTCCCCTTTGATCCAGCAAACTGTATTTGGGTACAATGTCAGTCCTGCTACTGATGTGATGAGTAGACACTGCCTGGTGGGTTAAGAGGAGGATGAGCAACTGCGCTGACACTGGCTCTCTCTGTTGGGTGAAAAACGAGAATGATAAGCCAGGCCTGACTCTGGAGAAGTCAGCAGTGGGTATGGGTGGGAGAAGGGCATGGTAGGAGTAGGTGGATTTTACTCTGTTGGCTTCAAATGAGCTCTGGCTGCTTTGCCACAGCCAGATCCAGGTTTTCTACGGATGACAGCTCTGACTTCTGGTCACGAGTCACCCATCACCTTGGTTGCGTGCAGGATGGGCATCAATGCAAAAAGCCAGTGGTTCTGCTAGGTTTTCCCTTGATCTCAGCCATCAGCCAGGTCTGGTAAAGGTGCCAGGGTCACCTCTAGTCACAGGGGTGTGATGTGGAGCACCACAAAGGTTCAATAATGAGATAGCCCATTGAGTGGTATTTCTTTTTGAGTGTTTTTTTCTTTTTTCAGTGATGCCGGGGGATAGGACAAGAGGAAACGGGGCACGGACTTGAATGTAAGAAGTTCCACCTAAACATGAGGAGGAACTTCTTTACTTTGAGGGTGGCAGAGCACTGGAATGGGCTGCCCAGAGAGGTGGTGGAGTCCCCTTCTCTGGTGACATTCAAAACACGTTCCTGTGCAACCTGCTCTAGGAGGACCTGCTTTGGCAGGGGGGTTGGACTAGATGATCTCCAGAGGTCCCTTCCAACCCCATATCATTCTGTGATTCTGTGAGTGGAGGGAGAAACTATAAAGAGGGGGTGAAAGCTGAATTGGAGGTGCCTATAGCTGGAACATCTGTGTCACGGTCAACACCAAAGATGGCAGGTTGCTGTTACAGCTTTCCTGAGGGCTTGGCTGAGAGAAGCTTCATCCAAATGCAGTATGTGCTCGCAGGCATTGGGAGCAGGGAGTCTGGATGAGAAAGCTTTTGTGGAGGAGAGGTTTTGCATGGTACCTCCGGGACATGGGAACCAGTGTCCATTGCGGTCCATTGTGGGTTTTTTCCAGCATCCTCTCACTGTCTATTGTGGATCCAACTCAGAAATAAAGCTTTAGGGATGGGCTGATGCTCTGTGATTATTTTTTTTTTTAATTTTTTGGCCGCTTCACAAACATTTGGAAACGCATTTGAGCATTTTGGTGGGGTTGAGCATGGTTGCATTCGATACAGTGAGTTAGCCTGGGAGGGCAGCAGGTGCTGTGCTTCTGGTTTTCTCTTCCAGTGTAAGAGGCCTATACCTCCTTGGTTTTTCTGTATCCCACCTGTGCTTAGTTTTCTATCAGGATCCTCGGGTGAGCATCTTGAAGCTCAGCAGCCTCAAAAGCCCCACAGAAGCTCTCACCTTCCTAGGTTTCTTTCTCAAGAGAAATTACGTTTTTAATTTCCTCTTGAGACCACTCATATTGTCTTTTCCGGGGCGATTCTCTCTTCATTAGCATTCAATGGGTGTGAACTTTTCTGGGGTCCAAAACTGGGCATGCATACAACTCTGTATCATTGTATGACTTCCATCCTGCAAGCTTTTCACTCTTGTCATTGTCTGGTCTTTTTTTTTTTCTATTCCACTTTGCATCAATATGGATTTCTATTGCAGATATGGTTACAATTAGAAAATAATTATTTTAGTATTGTTAGAGAATGAATTAATTATAATTTCTGGTAGGACAGAAAAAAGCAAGAACAGAAAATAGTTCTCAGATCTAACACTTGAAGTATTTATCACTGTTGATGCTGCAGCAGCAGCTTTCCTTATTTTATACATATTTACTATTATTCTACAACTCAAAAGCCTGGACCCAGAAATACTGCAAAAAGAGGAAATGGTGATTAGGGAGCACAGGTTCTCAAAGGAAGCTATTTTAGGTTTCCCCAAAGCAAAAAAAAAAAAAAAAAAAGACCCTCAGGCTTCCCTGCATCAGAAACATGATGCTGTACTTTGCATAGAAACATCCTGAGTTACCTACAAATTCATTGTCTTCCAATCATTGCCTTGTGCTTCCCCTGCCCATCTCTGCATAACTCTAATTTGCCTGCCCATGTCTGCATGCATAAATGTGCAAGAAATGAGTCCCGAGTGGCTCTTGAAGCTTTGGTAGGGTTTGCCGGACTAGTAGATAGGAAAAAGAAAAGAAAAAAAAAAGTAATTCTTCTTTTAAAGTGGGAAATTCAGATCAGTCATCAGGGAGACGCAGTAAACAAGGAGCCTGGTGTTGCTGTTTTTAGACAGGCGCTGCTCAGAGTAGGATTGTGCTTTAGGAGGTGCTAAGTATGTTCAGCAATATTGGCATTTTGTTTCAGTTGGATGAAGATCCGAAAGCCAATCTGAGCCCTTCATGAATGGAAACACTTTTCCCTCCTGTGTCCCTACTGTGTTTCTCCGTCTCACATGGGGGATGTAAAGACCCACATCCCTCCTACCTCCATCCCACCTCACCCTCTGCTGGGAGGTGTCAGCTTCTCACGCCAGGGTGAAGGAATGGCAGGAAATCTCAAGCTGCCTTTCCCCAGCCACGCTGCCCTGCAGGGATCCCATAAGTTGTGCCACTTAATCCTTCAGCCACCGTGGCGTGTTGCAGGGCGGTGACAATGAGCATAAACAAAACACGTAATTAATAAAGCAGTGGTGGTTTGCGTTCGGTGCTTGGCGATGGGTGGGACGTGAAGGGAAGCGGCGAGGTAATTATAGATATGAAAAATGAGGCAGGAACATGCAGTAACCTCTCTAGGTTAGCTGTCCCTGTGATCGATGGCCTACATTGTTTTCTCGCTAACCTTTTGGTGAACCTCCCCTTAGAATAACAGGGGAAATACAGTTATTCCCTTCTCCATCGTGTTTGTTGGTAAAGCACTCATGTACTGCCTTATTATTGCACCCTAAATATTGCAGTGTATTGGTAGTAAATCATATGATGTGTAATGACCTGCACCTCGTGCCAGGTCCTTCCCGTCCTCCTCCTGTCCAGCTGGAGGCTGCCTGCCCATCGCGGTGTGGGCAATGGCACCGACTCTGTCGCCGTCTCGATTAAACCAAAAAGACCAGTTTCCATGACTAAAACACGTGTTGAGGGAGCTGCAAGGACAGAGGTAGGGAAGGGTGCAGTGAAGGAGGTGACAAAACCAAAGATATGTCCAAAGATTTTTGGTGGAGGGGCGGGCAAGCTCCAAGACGTTGGGGTGATAAAATTATGGGCTTACGACTGGTGGCACAGGCCTGGGTGACAGTGTCTTTAAGGGGAAGTATTGGTCCATTTGCATCCCCTGCTGCATGAATGTACTCTGGTTTTACCTATCAAAGCCAAGCTTACTCTGTTTTCGGTAATTTCAAACACAGCCCTCAAGTGATGAGGTTTCTGAGAGCTGCAGCCAACTTTATGAACCCCGAACTCCTCCGTCAGGAGGAAGATGGTTTGCTTCAGGCATTTCACAGGGAATCATATGATATACACCAGATAAAATTGCAGCATGTAAAAAAATGTAAAGAATGCCAGGAAATGTTCTTGAACCCTGAAGTTGACTTAGCAGAGGACTAAATGGTTACAGGCAGTCACAGTAATTGAAGATATGATTGTATACATAACAGAGCCCCTTCTTTCAAGAAAGGGTGGATCTTTGCCTTCATGTCCTGGGAAGTACTTTTGATTGTTGTATTTATTTCTCTAGAGTAATTACTGAACTTCCCCTCAGCCAAAAGCATTCCTGATATATAGGGATTTCTTCACCCTTTTCAAGGACGATACTGGCTACTTGCGAAACAGTCAAATTAAGAAATGACATCCGTACCGCAGTGTGATCCAAGGACGAATTAGAAGTTAAAATTAATCAGATGGGAATCATTCCAAATTCCCCTTGTGTATGGCAAAGAGGAGGAAAAGTTTCTTTTGTATGATGTTTTATTCCGCAAGTTTTGTCTCTCCAAAATCTCTGTCATGGCCACCTAAAATTTTAACATGTGGGAAATGTTTATATTTTTTTCAGAACATTGGGATAGCTTTAAGAATTTGTTTTGGCAAGAAAAAAATGAAACTGTAAAAGGAGACATTTGAAGAGTCCCAGAAACAAATATATGACTATGTGTTGACATGTTATGAAGGTGTTGGGAGCGACTCCTTACTTAAAATTGTGTTGAAATTTGCACTTACTATGGATTTAAATTCATCAGCTTCACACTTTAATGATTGAA